TGGTGCGTCGCAAAAGTAACCGAGGGCCTACTTTCGAAAGTACTTCAACAGTGACGCAGGAAGTGTGCCGTGGCAGCTCCTTGCTATTGAGCAATAAAACCACTGAATATCGTTACTTCTGTTGAAATTTGGACTGAAAATAAATGCCAATAACTTCTGATTCCATTTTATTACGAAGGCATATGATGTAACAAGAGATAATGTCAGACACATTCTATTCCTGTTATGATCTGTTTTATGAAGCTGGCAAGAGAGCCGTGCCGGCTGTTTTCCCTTGCCCTTCGACATTCTGACACACAAATACAAGGTGTAACACACACAAGTACACGATGTAACACACACGTGGTGAACTGTGCGACGTAGTCTGAGGCAGGAGTTTATATATGCTCCCTATAACCCCCTTTTCCTGACCATCTGATGCACTGATCAGCACATGTGACGTCATAATCTTAGGCAGGTGCCTGTTCGGCCGCCCGACGGGTCCCGGGCAGTGAGGTTACGGCGTCGCTTCGGCGTATTTCGCCGAACGGGGCCCGAAGTGTTTTTAACTCTGAGTTAAAATCGATTCGGCGACCGCGCGGGGCCAAAAATAGGCCGGCAGCCGTCGGGAAGCCCGCCGGTCTCCGTCCAGGTCCCGTTCGGTAGTGCCAAAAAACACGCCGAACACGCGCCGAGCGGGCCCCTTTCTTGAATTGTGACCTAAGCATAACTAGAGATTTCCCTACCGAGTACCTCCTTCACTCCGGTCTATCTTCCATGTGAGCCGAATGAAATCACTTTCTTTTCTGATAATCTACTTAAGATGATGGATTGGAAGAGTTAGCAGTAAAGATCCACGTTGATTGATTCCAAATCTCCGTGTATTACTACAAGTAAAATTCCTGATAAAACTTTTCCCACTTACAAACTCTAGGCGATGTCGTTACTTGCGCTATAGAACTCATTACCGGTGATTGCCTTTTCTGATTAGGGGTTTCCCGATGACGAATTGATTCCGTGGTTTGAGAAGACGATCGGATGACTGGATATCGATGGAGATTTACCCCCCATCAGCGTCAGGACGGGGTGACAAGCCGTGCAAAAGATTTTCCATCAGGGCTGAGGAGACGGTCGAATGTCGTCCTTGAGAGAATCGTGGCTCATTGGCGTCATTTTAACGACTAAACTCCGGTCGAAGCGCCGGTCAATTGAGCCCAATCGCCTGTTTGTACGGGCTTCAATACCCTGGGTGCCTGACTGTTTCCAGGGCCTACACAGGCCAGCTCCTCGGCTCAGGGGCCAACATGCCTCCAAGGACCCCCACCCACCCACCTGCTCGAGTTAGACCCTACGCAGACTGGCTAACTCGGAATTATCGCCTCATGTACTACATTGTACTAGGGGTGTGGCAATCATGACTCCAATACTGTTACTTCGAATTCGCGAGTTTAGATTTTGTCCAGTATCGATGATTCTATCTAAGTGATGAACTATCTAAGTACAACCCGTGGACAGTATCGTTGTCACAGTCGCTTCTGCAAACTACCAGGACATGCCAAAGAGGAATTGTATGACATTGCACATTAAAAGCAGCTGATGCGTGATCAGTTTTAAATTGTGCAACATAGCATTAAAGGTACCGGGATGTAGGGGTTTTTCCTTAGGTCATAGAATTAATCTCTAAGCCAGAGCATGTATCTTTAGCAGTTTTAAATCCTCTGCACCTGATAAGAACTGCTGACTTTCAGTCACGTAATCCTTATCGACAATACCGAGTCCAAACCGATTGCGTTCCCTGCCGGTCGCTTCGGGGTCACGACAGTCCGATTGTTTATCACTAACGTAACGTTCCGCTGGTAAATTGGTCGTAAAGCGGACACGGCCTCCGCTTTTCTCACTACGGCCTTTCGTGTTTATGGGTTTTGTAATGTAAACTTTATTGACAATGATTCAAAATGGAAAAGTGCATATCTAACATATATACATATCAGTATACATAACGGATAAACGAGGATTCTTTTATAAAAGATATCCCAATTCAGAATCTTGTCTATATATGACCATTGATGTGTTCAGTTTGCTAATAAAATGAATTATACTTTGTTTGATGTCTGGAAACATTACTTGATGCAATATTTGACGACGAGAAGGAAATTCTGAAAGGCCATGCCGCTGCACGCTACCAAGTTGATGTGTTTCATTGACGATCGGTTATGTCTGTTGACATATATAGATGCAGACCTGGGCCTGGTGATAAAACAGCGGCAATGGTGAAGCTGCCATCAGTGCCTAGCGAGTATCTTTCAACTTGCCGGTTCATAACGTGGAAGTTGTCACAAGGGTCCTTGATTATTAGGAACTTGATTAACCAGCTAATAGGAACGGACGGATCAAGGCCCAATCGTCTGCAGGGGAAAATGGCGTCGGGATTTGAATGTGAAGACAGGGACTTCTTGACTGCCGAGAAATGGCATCGAGCTGACAAGAGTGACACCCGTGTGGACGGGAAGGTCGGTTCAAAGTCGACAGGGAAAATTACTTTCTAAGTAAAACTGTTTTATGGCTGTCTTGTTGCAAAGGCACTGAGACAGACGTTAATTAGACAAGTTTGAAAGGATCAGTGAAAAAGTGGCAGATCATTTTGAATGCGATGCTTCACAGCAAAGACAGTATCAAAACGCCCCACTAGAAATGCTACAGAGAATGAAACCCAAAACTCATGTAAGTCCCTTCAGGAAAACCTCGGGATATGAAGCTATCGAACGTACTTGAACCGAAACGGCGTAATTTGCTTTCATGGACTGATGGATTGAGGGGCCTATCTCTCCGAACAGCTTGCCACGAAAACGTCGATATCTGTAATATTTCATCTCAATACTTCAACCACGTTTGTCAGAACTTCCACGATCACCCCTCCCCCTTCATTAGAACCGTGGTCCAATGTTTTATCGCACTTATTGGAAATGGCAGTTGAATTTCCCCGTATAAGACATTTTAAACTTCGTAGCCCTCCGATTACTAGTAGTATGGACTAGACACCGTAACGAAAAGATTACCCATGCCCACTGAGACGAGACAATCGAACATACTTGAACCGAAGCAGGCTAATTTACGTTCATGGACTGATGGATTGTGGGACGTATCTCTCCAAACAGCTTGCCAAGAAAATGTCAATACTTATAATAATTCATATCAATTCTTTATGAAATTTTTCACGCAACCGTAGCCATTGTCGTTAAGAATTGCGTATATGACATTAACGTTACGTACAAGAATGTGTTTGTATGGAGAACTTTGATTGACCGCAGTTGGATTTCCCCAGATCACAGAGAAACTTACCAGCCTGTGGTCATCCCAAGCCCAGCAGAACCTGAGTATGGACTTTAGATTCCGAGTAGATAGAGTATGAAATGTTCCCGGTCGTAAAAACCACAGGAGGTTACATTAAACAATCGAACGTACTTGAACCGAAACGTGGTAATTTGCTTTCCCGGGACTGATGGATTAGGCGACCTATCTTCCCCAGCAGTATGCCATGAAAACGTCGATATTTGTGCATGTTAGCTTTAAGTTGCAGCCAATATTAGCCAGGGACTTGCTTCTTCCCGTGATGCACCAGTATCGAGAAAAGTGCTTTGGTGGAATGGGCAATAGTAGCAATAAGTCATGTAGTTGTCAGGCTAGGCAGAGTATCGCTGATAAACCTAATGTATTCGCAGCTTACACGGTACCCAGGAGCTCCGACAGACATCTGTCGCTGTCGTCTTCGTCGAACGGGTGGTCACGTGGTATGGAGGGCGGGGACAGGAGGGAGGAGTCTGTGGTCCTGCCGGTGACGTCAATCTCCCAGAACCCTGGCTGGATGATCGGTGATAGTTCTGAAGAAACCAACCACATGTTTTAAGATAAAACCAAACAAACAGGCAGGAGACATATCACAGTGACAACATTTCTATTTTCCGGTTACAGTGCCTTAAATTGCAACTCTCTCTCTCTCTTTCTCACTCACTCACTCTCTCTCTCTCTAGCTCTCTATCTCGCTCACTGACCTTTCTCTCTCCCTCCCTCCCCTCCCTCCTTCTCTCTCCCTCCCTCCTTCTCTCTCCCTATCTCTCTCTCTCTATATATATATATATCTCCATCTCTCTTTCTCAGTTCATTCGGGGAAACAAGACCAACTCATTGAAAAGTTGGACGTCATCCATAAAACGAAATGGCGGGAGAATCTTGTGGGAGCTCCAGTGTACTTCTCTATTCTGTGATGCAGTAACAAATCCATCTACACCTGTCTTCTCCCGACCGGGGATTCGGCACGCCGGGGAACACATAAAGCACGTCTCAGCACGCCTCCTCTCAGCGGAGGTTCAGATCAATTAAACCGCACAGGTCAGTCATCCATCACCGCCGACCTGCACAGCTCGACTTGGGAGAAGGTCTTAAAGAACCCCTGAGGGATTCTTGATGGGTGCCGCTCGGCGATAAGAGCCTGTTATCGCAAGGTCATCTCAAGGGTACAACGCCGAAGAGAGTTGCTTACATTTCATTTATTTGGCTTCATTTGTTCCGCTGGTATTCAGGCGAGCCTGCCCAACTAGCCTAGGGCTGTTATCAAGTTCGGTCTATGAGTTAGAGGCCCATACGTTCTCGTCCATCGCAAACGGGGGTGTACCAGTACTGTTAATGTGATGGGTTTTTAACGTGCTTTAGAAGGACCCTTAAGGTGTGGCTCCTCTCGAACACAGGGCCTGCGGTCCACAACATCGTGCTGCAACCCTTACAAGTACAGTGCGCATCGGCGCTACCTGAAGAGCACTGAAAACTTGACAGGGATTCTAGCCCTGGTGGGGCAGTCCATTGCCACTAGAGCAGAGAGCTTCTGTCAAATATCAAACAACGCAACGGGAGACGGCAGACTTCACCCCCTACCCGTACTGGTCTACAGAAGACCAAAGCGGAAGCATTGAGGTAGTATGGTAAAGATGCATTGTGCGCATTATCATGGGAAACACACGGACACACCCACAACGATACGTCATTACTTCATTTATCAGAGACCGCAAGATGCAAGACCAGCTCCTGTGTCCCGACTTCCGGGCGAGCTCGTTTTTATCAATACAGGAGCTCATCTGGCGCTGAAGATCTAACGACACCCTCGGCGCCACCGTTTTGCCCTACTTACAAAAATCCCTCTGACCAGACGCGATGGTATACAGGCCAGTAGCTCATCGGGATGGCGCAGGGGATCAAATGTAATCATCATTAATCCGCCGACCTGGCCCAGTAATCCTATATTTCAATTACTCGGGGTGTCTGACCGTCTTCTGTGGTATAAGTGTAGAACTAGGTGAATCTATTTCACGTCACGAACATTCAATGTAGATGCACTGTATGCAATCTGTGATGATTCATCGCAAGCTATTATAACATTCCTTGATATTCATATGCATGTCTGCAATTGGATACTGCTTTGCCAGAAAAGGATCTGCTTGGAAATTGACTCACCCGACTTGCACTCTACTGGAGAGGGTTATTCCTCACAATTAGGGACGTTATATAAGCACAGGTCTGCTGTCTATGGAATCTTCTTATTCCTTTAAAAACGAGCAGAGGGTTTATTGAACACTACATGCTATAGTAGCTAACAACCACGCTGCACGGCAAACGGTAATAAGAGGAGGGAGAGACCAGTACCGCGACACAGAGGCATTCTGCACGCCAAAATTGTAGACGCTAGGGTACAATTCAATCCCTCTGCGCATCCATACGAATCTTAGACCAGGATTCATGCGTCATTTCTTAAGAATTTTCTATTCCACTAGACGGTAACTTGTCCCTGGTCATTACTGCCCCTCTCCGTCCGTACACATAACGTTACTGACGGTTTTGGCGGAGCACGCCGGGTACATGCCTAACGTTAATGATGAGAAAAGGCGGAGGATGACGCACGTAGACTGGCTATGGGAGTTCTCGTGGGCTTTAAAAGACGTCAAAGTCTGGCGTAAATCTATGTACATCACTAGGAAATATAAGAGCTGTATCCTGTTGTGGATGGCTATAGCTCGCTGAGGCGGAAACACGAGTTCGTTTGTGAATTAGCTTGGCACTGTAAGCCGTGGACGCCATGTTTGATAAAGATATATATGCTGAAAAATCCTTAAGTGCATCCCCCTTCCTTCATGGTTCGCTGGCTTGGAATCTGCTGCTTGAAAGAAAGCCGCCAGGCGTCCTTGAATTTTGATACTGCGGTCAAGACCTACACCATCAACATCCACTACTACAGTTTGAATTCTCATATCTTCAAGAACGCAGGCAAGGGAACAAACTGAACTGTATCATTTTCTGGTGCACTCCCAGGAAGATATGTGTCTGACTGTTCAGATCCAACTTCCGGAAAATATCTTAGATCTTCGACTATTAAAACAATACTCTCTCCACAGATAGCAACATGTATCACGAATGGGCCGGCGTAAGTTGATGCACGTCTCCCTGTAATTCATGCGTGTTTCTCGAAGCAGAGTCAGCAAATTATCGACGTCCACGGCTTGACAAATGGTGTCTGAAATTGACACTTTTGCCCGGAGGCAGGTGAAGACCGGAGGCCAAGGCTGACACTGTACGTGTCCGGGAATCGATGGATGTTCCGGGAAGCGTGGCGGGTCACGAGGTGGCAGTGATTATCTAAACATGACATTGACTGCGAGCGCGGCTGACATTTAGGGTGGAGTAATGGTTACGTAATGTCAGACGTCACTGCCAGGCAGGACAAACTTGACCAGCTTATTAGAGTAGACAGGTCGTAGGTTTACAACATTTCTTGTTAGCAAAGGAAGGAAAGAACGTTATCCATAGTAACTGATACAATATTACGCGACATTGTTCTCCTCTTTCATCCCATCACCCCTCTCTTTGTCCCTCGCTCCCTCCTTTACCTAGTCTCGATCTCAATGTCTTTTCCTCCTTTCCTTTTTCCCTCTCTTCCCACTCACATTTTCCTTCCTTCCTCCCTCTATCTTTAGTAAACTTACGTTTGTAGTAGTCATTGTCCTGACGCTCCAGTTCAGGCAGAGTCATGTCCGCCAGGCTAGCGGCCCGCTCCTGCAGCGAGGCGATCTGCTGGATCTGCTCGGGCTCGGCCTGCACCCTGCCCGCCCGCAGCCGCCGTAACAACACGGTGAGCTGCCCTGCAGAAGCACAGAAATCCGATATAACGTTTTCGGCATAGGAGCAAGTGTCGATAAATATTCATACTGTTATGTGGCTAAAATGATATTTACTGCCCAGCGTTCATATAGTTTGGGACAAAAAGGCAATAGTAAAGTACTATACTACGTATACACGCGTGCTATTATATAATGTCCAGGCAGTCTTAGCTTAGCAAGTTGACAGCAAATCCTGCCCAGGCTGTCAGATCCTGCCCAGGCAGATGTGAAGAGCGAGTCACATTGTCATTTGGGAAAGGGCGACTATGAAATATGCAGTGTGGCAACTGATTTAACTTTTGAAATGTAATAAAGTTAAAATTTAGCTACGTGAAACGTGATAACATTTTTCAGTCAACAAAGCGCTGCTGACTTTGCTATAGCAGTGGTGGTAAACTTTGAGTGAGGTGCACTACTGCTTTTTTCCTTATCATCAACAAAAATATTGAGGACATCTATCTTGCCCGTTCATGGTTTTAAAACCTCCTTGGTGCAACGCAGGGCATTTCAATTTACAATAACAGTTTTATTTTAGCACGAGAATGAAATTTTCCCTGGAACTGTACAAAATGTGCCTGTGGACCTCTGTGCAGCGTTGCTGTTATTATATATCTTTGCCTCCGGCGAACTTTTCCTCCAGACGGTTTCTGCAGATAGCATAGAAACCCTGAAGGAAGTCATCAGCTGCTAACGCGTGGAGAAAAACTCGGCGTGGCGTCTCGCCCCTCGCTCAGATATTGGGTGGTAGGAGAAGGTAAAGGTTAATGTGCGCATCTAACTAGCCGATAAATGGAACGTGTGGTACGTAAGACCCGCTGGGGATCTCTATCTGCAGGGTCCTCAGATGACCAGAATGTGGTCGTTTCTCCTTGGTTGAGGCTCGTTGGACGCTGCATCGGCAGCGCTGGATACGTTAAAGAGGTTCTAAAGTGAGTACTATATGACAGACGGCAATTTTTGGAAGATGTGGATGAGCAGAATAGAACGTATTTAATGCCAGGGAGCGTATGGAAATCTGCCCTTTGGACCAGGTGGTCGCTACTTCACAATTCTGGCAGTTGACGTTATAAATCTTTACAGATAAATCATGTTCCATTGTTTATTGTTTGTGTCAAGAAGAGTACAAGATAGCTGTTGTAATTGTGCTTATATTTGATATCCTTGGATGTTGCGGGTTTGAAGCTGTTTGTCCAGGCGATCATTGTGCCTGTACGGTTTGGAAGACGTCCAAAACCAAGCCCACACTCCAGCCATCTGCATGAAGATTACAGCGACCCTCCATGACGCCGTTACGATGAGAAATGCGGCGCCTTTCCGAGATTGTCAATCAGCGTGGTCGCCGAAATGTCAGCCGACTCCTGCAGTAATTTGGTGTTTTAGATACAATCTGCCCGGTCTCCAAGCACCTCTTAGGTCCATTAGAGACGGTGAACGACTTAATAAAACCGTGAAATGTCAGAGGCTGCGAGCCGAACCGCCGATAGGGGCGCAGAAATGCCATTCAGACCGTTTGTAAGCAATTATAGGAACGTTTGACAACGGTTTGCTGATCTGAGGGATCAGTTTACTTCGTCAATGATGGTATTTCGATATGGCTCCAAGCTGCGGGGTCTGGGAAAGGAAAGGAAAGAAAGGTATCTACAGTTTGGCACACACTACAATTAGATAATGGCAGCTAATTTTCCTCCGCGCAACTGGAACCTGCATATGTGCCTTGTGAAGTTCCCTCTTTTCAATAAATACAATGACTCGACTATCAGACAGCGTTCAATCCTTGAACTGCAAGTCCCTCACTTATTTCATGCATGCCGGGATTTGGACCTGGAATATGGACCATATATATAGCCAATATGGACCTGGAAACATGTGGAGAGAAGTCACCAAATATATGTGAGCAATATGGGACTGATTTTGCTGTAGTTTTCAGCTATACCTGTGAAGGTTTTAGAACCAAATTTTATCGCTACTACTTTTTGAAAATCATTGTAGCCACCTCCTATTCATAATAGCCACAATGGTCTATTTTATTATTACCAGTATTTATCTCACAGATTCAAAACCAGTTAGTTGTGGTTACATCATCCAAGGCTAGTGTTAACTCACCGTCCACCATACGGATTCCTATCACAGCATCCAGGTTTAATATCCTGTAGTTGTGTTCACAGTAGTCCAGCACCCTTTCTAGAGCTCCCATGGCGTCCTCCAGCGCGGGTTCGGGGTGGCTCTGTAAGGAGTCACTCGGGGCCGGGTGCAGAAACGTCCCGATGAGCAGCAGCACGAGCATCGGTTGCGTCATACTTCTCGGCGACAAGTTCCAGCAACGACTCTTAAAACGACTCTGATCTGTACAACACAGAATATACACACAAAGTGTTCAAATGACCCCTTTAGCTACTGTTTTTATTCTTTTAGTAGAACGCGCTGCACTAGTCCTCTTGGAGTCCTATGAATATACAAACATCAAGTATGTATATATGTGTATATGTATAAGTAAGACACATTAAACGTCAATGCTAAACAACTTTTACTTTTTGCGGTAGTTCCTATGACATCAACTGTAAAATTGTGTTAACCACACAAAAATATCATATATGTGTGCTGTTTTGCTTCTTCTGTGATGGGAGTTTTGACTACTATTTCTCTTATGAATCCACACATTTTCAAACATCTGTAGAATACCTTTATTTTTCGTTCTAAAACTGGCTGCGAGAATATAAGTAGTGCCTAACTTCGAAGTTACTTTGTCTGTGTCCTTTCATTTGTATGCATTATTGTTTTTCTGAATAAAAAACATCATGATCAAGTGAAACCATCACAGAAACATTCTCGTCACGTTTACCACCATAAATGTAGCCCTTTCATGCAATATTTCCCCTTTACTCAACAAAGTATAGCAGCTTATTGTCATATATATGGCAACAATTCGACCCATGGCATCCGTAGAGCAGCTTTAGCACACTCTTTCTCATAACTATTGGATAGTATCTCTGTTATATTAGGACAGTAGGAGCTTCCTCATTGAAGCAACGCCTGGGGAAAGACATACAGGGTTTGGATGTTGCCAGCCCGGCGTCTGATATAAGCAGCCACTGCCGGATGCCTTTGGGCCTATGTGTAGCTGTGGTGGTCTTTGTACCATCTGACTACTGCGATACTATTCAGAAGACCTTTCCACAGAACTTGTACTTGACTTTGTTAAAATTTGTCTCTCGTCTTCCCTGTTCAGATAACGTTCCAAAAGGGTTATTATCATTATCGTGCCGTGTCTGATAGCAACCTACGCGAAACGTGTGATTAGTGAACTTACTGGTCCACGACTCGGCGCTATGCAGAAAATATCAACTTTCCCGTGCAGAATTACAAGGAACCTATCTTGAACATCGGCCAAGTCGAGACGGATTCTAGTCTGAGTAACACAAGCTCACACTGTCGGGGTTCTATATGGAGCCTCTTCCCGTTGAGATTGTGCCTCTCTAAGCCGGGAGTTTGACTTCCTAAAGAAGTACCAATAACACCTTGGGATTACTTGTCATTACAAAAATCTGCCCAATAGGAGCTCATGATTCTCTATCACCATGGAAACCAATCATGACAGCCTCTAACACCATGGTAACTGACAGTTCCAAGTCTGATATATTCCATTCTCCTCAGAATGCAGAGGCATACATAAACACCTCGCCAAGGCTCAAGCCCCCCCCCCCCCACACACACCTCCTGCTGACAGGCACGATGATGAATACACATCGTTACTTAGCCACTCCAGGCTACGATCCTTTCGCACGCCGAAGTAATACGAACTAGCCTTGAAGCGTGCCTTCCCCTTGAGAAACAGCAATCTGCTAATGAAACGGAGTGCTAAGATTAAAGTCCGGTCGATTTCTTATAAAACAGAGACTGTAAAGGCGTCACGGTAAAACGAGTAACACTTTAAAGTTTAGTCTCGGCCCTTTGATGTATCGAGGTGGACGTTGGAGTGGAAAGAACTTTAGCTAAAAGCGTCTGTTACGGCTACTGTTGCCTGGAGGCCGTTAAGCCGTGGGTGTTTGATGTTAGGAAAAAGCCATAACGGAACATAAAACACCAGTCATCCGACATGCTTGCCGCTGGGACGGACTACAGACTTTAGAAGAAGGCGTTGTAACACGTCTGAGTTGGCCCAGTGCCATCTACATGTTGGCAACGGTTGGGTCCTCCTTATCTGTTGTAGTTTCTGCATTAAAAATGCAGTAACTTTGCTTCAATCTCTGGTCGAATCTGCATCGCTAGTGGAGCCGTATTGTAATGAATCAAAGACAGAATGCACCAGAAACATCCTTGTCTCTAGCACTCATTCAAAAAGTAGAAAATTTCAAATATTTTGGTCCCTACATGATGTGCCCGAGGAAAGATTTTGAAACCAGATAAGCCCTTGCATGGGAACCAAGCAGCAAGTTGGACAAACTCTCACATACTGAAGATCCATGTTTACCGCTCCCATCTGAAACAGATACATGCTCGAAATACATGTAGATTTGGACCTATACAAAGCTACGTAGGGTACAGAACATATCTTGGACACAGTCTACCACTCATAAGTCTCCCAAAACTTTGTCAAACGTTTGATGGGCATTGCTGTCGAGCCAAGCAAGAAACAGTTTCATCCGTCCTCCTGTGGAAACCAAATGGCCAAGTGAATTGCAGAGGTTCGACCGTTGCTCAGATAGAGACACTGCAATATGATAACTTAGAAAAAAAAGCAATGCTTGATAGTGCTGTGTAGAGTGAAATACGTACTAGCTTGGTCCCGGCTGATACAGGCCGATAGATGATGATGATGATGGTGTGTACTACTGTAGTAGTCATGCGGTCTATTCGTCTAGAGCACCCCCCCCCCTTCCCCATGGCACCAACGCGTTTTGCACGTAGGAACTTTTGCTTTTACTCTTAATGTGTTTGAAAAAAAGTTTCCATAAAACTGATCTGTTCTTACATCTTCGCCTGGCCATATAGCTTCAGGAAATCCATTCTGTACATTAACCCGGTGAACTACTTCTACTGTTCTGTGTATTTCTGCGCTCATAAAGACAAGTATACGTCTTTCTTTGTCGCATCAACTTCAAACAAATGCAATGAAGCAGAATAAACGCATAACGAAACTAGAAAGGCCAATATTTGCTTTGGAGCAAATACAGCGATGGGTTCACCACATTTTACGACATGGCAGGGAAAGAATGGGAAACACAAGGGAAAACAATGATTTACATTGATATAACTATAATATGAAGTAAAATACAACTAAAACAACAGTTGGATAGCTATTCCCTACTTTATTGGTTAGGATTTTTAATTTGTCATAATGCAAACTAGTTGATTTTCTAAAATAAAAAAAACGTAAA